TGCTAGAATTTTTTGTAAATTTAATTTATAAAACCAAGGTGCCTTTAGTGTTTTAAATATGTTTTATGAAATAACATAAATATTTAAAGTATATAAATGAGATGAGTATGTGGACTCATGTTAGGGCTCTTTCAGAAACAGGTTCTCATCTCTGTGGGATGGCAGTAAACCACACTCTGACAGGGCTTAATCTGTTCTCCTAGGCTGTCAGGGATGAAAGAGAACATGGGTCCTTGGACCACAAAGGTTTCAAGTGTTTTGTTTTGTTTTTAATGACTGGCTTCTTGGGATAGGTTTGAAAATTGCTCCTAAATCATAAAGAATGGAGGAAGTTTTTCTAGCAACTTATTAATATTATAATAATATTATTATTAGATTGTTAAATTAGAAGATACATGGAATTATTTTATTACTAACCTAATTCTGTTTTTAATTCAGTCATAAAATTCATACTGGGTTCAGTCATAAAATTATCTTGTATTATGTATGCTTAGATATTCTTTATTCTGATTAGTGATATTCTTTATTCTGATTAGTACTCAAATATTTCTTTGGGGTAATTTGATTTTCTAAAAATATCTTCAGTTTAGAATCTGATGAATAGCATGTGAAAAAAGCAAGAAGCTAAAAATATTTACGTATATTTTTGATTCAAGAATACTCTGTATGTTAGGGAAAATTTAATGGTCATAAAATTAAGGCAATTTATAATTCAAAATATAGGTAATAAAAAGGTTCAATATAATTAACTAAAATGGACTGATAAAAATAGTAAAATTAAAGATACAGCCTGTAAACCCAGAGGTAAACTCTCTTACTATGCTCTAAGCAAGTTAGAGTAGTAAGCAATGAAAAATATAAAAAGCCATTTAGTTACTGTACAAGTCTTTTAACAGGAAGACCTTTTTCAACTTTTTACATTTGAAACTGAGAAAAACCGTTATGCATCAGTGCTACATTGTGAAACTTTCTAAGGGCATTTTCATTTACTTTAGAGAACTATGCCAAAGATGATTCATATAAATACATAATAATTTAGAAATGTTAGAAGATCAAAGGTAGATATAGTCATTTGGTAGAATTGCTTTATCTCTATCATTAAAATAATATATTAATATACAGGAGGTAAGAACTAATTTCCTATCCTGTTCTCAGTCTTAAAAAATCAAACAAAAAGCCAAGAACAAAAAAAATTTACTTATGTATGAAAGTGGAGAAGACCTGAAAATTGCCATTGAGTGGTAAAACACTAAGCATTTAATACACCATGAAGTATTGATTATGTGAATTGCTGTAAGATATAACAGCATTAAATACATAATTTTTATTCTAATGTTTTTCCCTTAGTACGAACCTTTGGAACATTTATACATTTAAGATGCTAAGTAGATTACTCCAAAGATTTTATTGTGATTTTTTATAGCTTTATAGAGAAATGGAAATGGGAAAGTAACAGGGGAAGGAAACTAAGATATTAATTTCCACTTACATGATTTCAAAGTGTGTGGATCTAAAAAAATTGACGGTAAATATCATAGTGGCATATTTTTTGGGGAAGAATGATCATGTAGAAGAGCCTGAGATCAGCTGAAAAATGTGAATTAAAATTTCTTTTCTAAAACATTCTGTTTCATACATCTATGCAAATTTCTGTATCATCTAAAAACCTAGTGCTTAAAAATACAATTATAGATGAGATTAAAATTTTTATAATTAAAAGTCATTGTTAATATACAATTCTTTGAAATCTAGCTCCATGGGAATTTTGCATTTATTATAGATGACATATAAATTATCAAAGAATTAGACAAGTTTATGCATGTCATATTAAACTTAGATTTAGAAACATTCAGCTTTAAAAACTTATACCTTCCATTTATTAACCTCCTTATACCTTCCATTTATTAACCTTTGGAGGTTAATAAATGGAAAGTATAAGTTTTTAAAGCTGAATGTTTCAGGTGATACGAAAATGTAATACAAATATTTTAAAGGATATATGAGAATGAAATATTTTTTAAAATTCATATATCTACTTATAGCATAATATGTTATATGTTCTGTCAGTGCCAACTCATTATTATAGAGTTATATAAGATTTTACACTAAATGGCAGATTCAAAATAACCTATATTTTAATTAACTTTGAAAAGGAAGTCACCATAATGTATTCAAACTTAGATTAAATAGAGATTATATTATTTTATCACATATTTTTCTGAGCAGGATTTCAGAAGGTATATAGTGCTAAGAAGTGGATGTCTTTAACATAAACTCTAAATAGTTGTTTTTCAGGACATATTAAAATCTTACAATTTTTGTTGTATTTGAGAGGATACAATTTCAACCCCTGATGATCATTCATCTAGAATCATATTTTAATGCAAATTATTGAGAAATTACTTTTCCTTTGATATGTATTGAAGAAATTTACAGGATATAATTTTATCTTTTGAAAGAAAATCTTAACTCAAGAATAAATCATAAATTGATGTATAATGGAAATATTAAATAATTTAGTATAATAGATGCATGTTGTTTTCAACCATAAAGCCTCATCCTTTCAGCCAACAAAGTATATATGTATATTTGTATTGGTCATGAGACTATAGAGCTGATGAAATCTGTGGGATTCAAAAATTATGTGTTATCCTTAGAAGTCATCATGATTTGTTTTAAAGTAAAACAGTATAAACACACAAGTAAAAAATTACGTTTGAATACAGATTGTTAAGTTACATTCAATATCTTTATTTAAAAAGATACCTATTTTGCCTAGTAAAACATAAACTTGGTCATCACTTCCTAAATCTAGAACTAATGGTCCATTTCTATATCATTTTCATATATAAATAATAATTGATAAATGATAATAGGTAGGAAGACAGAAGTACTAGAATGTTGTGCAAATGTGTTCTCGGCAAACCATTGCACCATTACCTGGTAATGTGGATGAAGCTGCATGAAATGCATTAAAGCAATCCCATTTCATCCATATCTTTCAACAAATAACATGTTCACAACTGCTTTGGTGTCTTTATACGACTCCAGACTTAAGTAATGATATCATACATGAGAATAGTAACTTCTAGCCAAAATATTTTCTTATCATGCATACACCCACACATACACAGCACTGGAGATAGCAACCATGGGGGCATGGTGTAGTGGGTGAACAGCACACAGCAGGCTCTGACAGTGTGGGGTGGGGAAATTTGGATACAAGAGAAAACTTTTATTCTTTCACATTGGACAAAGGATTCCATGATACCTTAATAAAAAAGTGGAGTATTAAATTGTATGCAATGCCTAAGCAAAGGTTGAGCCAAGTTAAAATTTCCTAGGACTACTGTTTGCATTAATGTAAGGTTACCTCTATAATGAGGCAATTTAATTTACTTTTCATATTCTAACAAATTAGAGTACTGAGGTAAATTCATGTAAACCAATAGTCATGGAAATAAAGAGAAATAGAGTATACTCTTAATATTTATACTCGTTTTCACTGCAAAAGGTTAGATTGCTCAGATTGTTTCTAAGCAAATTATGTTGCTTGAACAAATGATAAATTCAGTCAGCTGAAAGGGTTGTTAATTTGAAAATAGTATTCAAAAAGTCAAAATAACCATTTTCTGGTTTGCCCAATGCTAAGACTATTTTAAAAATAAACAGGTCATATGTTTTTGAATGAGTGTATTTCAATTACCGTATTGCTTCTTTTTAGAAACCTATTCAGTGTCCATGAAGTAAGCCTAACTCTTCATCAAAGTTCTTTGTAAAGTCATAATTAATATAATTTATATCTTTCATTATGAAGTTTCTTTAGACATTAACTGTTTAGTAACTAGAGACATAATTATGTTGGTCTCCCAAAGAGACAAAGCATTCAGATAGATACAGATATGTAGACATATACATACATATATAAAAATAGTTTCTAATATATATTCTAATACATTTATATGTATGTACGAATAAGTATTGCAAAAACTATATCTGTTATGCAAATTCCATACAATTAAAATTTTACAGTTAATAAAATCAAGAAAGATAATTTGAAATTATTCCTCAGAGACAAAAAACAAAAGGAAAAGTGGGAGTCTGGGATTCTAGGAAATAATGTAATTTTCAAAACAAAGAAATAAAGTTAGGTGATTATATAATATAAGAGATTTATTAAGTACAGTAATACTAGTCTAGATAATCTGCAGTGAAATTGAGATTACTGTTATATTCATTTAACATTTTGTCTTTCACAGGGATTCTTAACTGGGGTGTATGTTAGACTCATCTGGGGAGCTAATTTTAGGTACACCTTACCCCAGAAATTTTAGTTTAGTAAACTAAACTATTTGTATATGAATCCCAGAATAAAATCCTGACTCTGGTAGTTTACATGTAATTACTGTATTTTGTGTGCCCTAAAACCACATATGGGCCAATATTCTCTCTTCTCCATTACCCTTCTAAATACTTGGACAAGTTCTTTGTGATGTCTTTTTATTCAAAACTTCAAAGGATGCTACTATTAAAACCAAATTGTTCATTTGCCTTAAGTAATTTCAATATTAAAAATGGATTCTAAAGTTATACAGACTGGATAGAGCATTCTTTGGTTTTATTTTGAGGTCACTTAAGCAGCTGCTTTTAGACATCATTTCTATAAATATGTTTCTCACTTTGAAATGAATCTTGTACAATATATGATTATTGCAAAATATATGACATTTCTCTTTAATATACATTTAAAATCATTTTGACCAAATAGCTCTGTTAATAAAATGAAGGATAATTTAAAAATATCCTTTTACCGAGTGAGGGAAGACAGTGTAAAGTTCTTAGAAAAAGAGAATATACTTTTTTAGCTGATGGGAGATGGTGTTTGCTTGGCTTTAAGGGGCTGTGTTTCCCCACCAAACACTGCCTTGGTGCAGAATATGCTGTCTGCTTTTTACTGATGATCACATTCCTTTATTTTAGAGTTAAGAAAGTCAATTTACCGTGTCTGAGAAACGGTAAAACTTCTCCAATGCAAAAGCTTCTGTCTGTGGGAAGGTAAAGTGGACCAAGAGGGATTGAGAAACCAGAGAATCAAGTCATATATAATTAAATATAATTACACAATTGGTTTTAATAATATATACCATTTTAACAATAATATGTATCAATTAGTGAATTTCCACATATGTAAAGTATTTACCCCAAAGAATGAGTTGAATTTACTCCCCAAAATAACTATTTTTACATTAAATCTTAATTACATTTAATTACATTTGATCCTTGAATATTTCTGATAGTGTTTAGAAAATAATAAAGTATGAGTATTTTTTGCATTTCAACATTTTCCCAGAATATTAATCACTGGAAAAATTAATCTCTGTATCTTTCTGTGAGCTAAAGAGTAAGAAGCATCATATATATAGTGCATATATTTGATGTATACCGTATATACACACATACATATACATATATACATGCATACATATACTGAGGATTGAATCCAGGGGCGCTTAACCACTGAGTCACATTCCCAGCCTTTTAAAAATGTTTTATTTAGATTACAGGGTCTGGCTGAGTTGCTATGTGCCTCAATACATTACTGAGGCTGGCTTTGAACTTGTGATCCTTCTGTCTCAGCCTCCTGAGCTGCTGGGATTACAGGCAGGCACCTCTTACATGTGGCAAAACTGAGTAAGAAGACACTTTAACAAGCCAAAATTGAGTTTCTAAACTTGTGGTCTATTACATTACCTAGTGGATACTGTTGACTGTTGCATGTAGAATATGAATGAGCTCTCAGATTTTTCCTATTTAAACACAGTATGCCTAATATTTCTCATTTCTGGTGTTTGGATCACATGGCTGAAACATTGTAAAGTGAATAAGGAGGAGGAAGAATATATTGAGACAATAAAAATGGAGAATCAAATCATTAATGATATGAAAAATGTATATTGACTTAATTGTGATAAATGATAGTAGTAGGGAAAATGTCTGTCATTCACTGATAGGAAAGAGTTTCACCCATTGATATTGTTGATACAGCATTTGTCCTGTTAAGGTGTTTCAGCAAGTGCCAAGAATCATTAGAGAAGGGGGAGGGGAAAGTAAGATAAAGGAAAAGTAAAGAACAAGGAGAAAATATAAGTAAATCAGGGAACATGGAGAAAGAAGATAAAGAAAAGTTAATCTCCCTATCATAATATATTCAATATACAAATGAGATGCTTTTATTTTCATATAAATTGAAACAAATGTATGCTCTAGTTTTGTTGTCTGTCCAATGTAATAATCTCCTGATGCTGCTGTTCTTTTCTATGCAGCATGAGAATTTATTGGGTGTTTATTAGAACAGTGATAATTTTTGGAGGGCCAATTAGAAATGATCAAGTATTGGTTGAGAATATTTTTAGTGCTGAGAGGTTAAAGCTTAGTGCTTTAAAAAAAGTTTAGTATATAATCAGTAATTCAGAAACCATCAAATCTTAAAAATTCATGCCATATGAACCAGATGGTTATCCTTAGGTTTTATCTTTTGACTGAAATATTCCAGTGTATTGGATCCTGGCTATAATTATACATCACTTCAACAGTATTTTATTGCTTTAAAAGTCTATTTGCTTTTAAAATGTCTGTTGGTACATTTTAATTAGAAGAAGTAAACTCATCCATTTGCTGTCAAGAGAAACTCTCTCTTACAGAGAAAGGTTGATAAAAACTATGTACTTTTAAAGGGATATGCCACAACAGGTCCTAAAAGAGGGGAGCAATGCTGCTCTGTACATACAAATCCATTTAGGTTATTTCTACAATTTCTATGGCCTCCTAAAGGTGTTATAAATAATTTTTTTCCTGGAACATCTCTAATCATATGATAGTAAGGTAAAGATTGCACTTTATTGTGTTTCCCATAGAGTTTCAGAAGAAATATCTTAAGAACATAAAATATAAATGAAAAATAGACTACATAGTTTTGTGTGAATTTAACATCATGGTGTTATTAAATAATTAATATTTTATGGAAACAAGGAATTAGCTCAGAAAAAAGCAGCAACTTTATTTGATTTGATGACTTGCATCAAGTAAAACAAATAAAACAATTGAATATTTCAAGTGAGATTATGTATTTCACAAATTGAAGCAAGAAAACAAACAAAAAACAGTGTTATTCCTGAAAGTACATTGGGAAGCTGATAAAGCTCTCGTGTTACCAGATATTCTGTTTAAAGTATAGCTAGGTGTCATCATTTTCTTCCTGAAGTGAATTTTGACATTTTTAGTTTCAAAGAATATCATATCATTTAGTCCCCAGTCCCAATTTTCTTCCTGTATATTTCCATTAAATATAACAAATTTACTTTCCAATAAAACTGATATACAACCAAACCCAATATATTCAATTACTTACCTTATTCTTTCTCTTTCGTCGAAGTCGCAGCAGTTCTTTGTGCTGTCTTGATACAAAATTTACAGCTGCATATTCCAGAAGTGCTGAAAACACAAAAAGGAGGCATACTGCCATCCAAATGTCAATAGCTTTGACATATGAAACCTAGCCAAGAGAAAAAGCGAAAGTGAGCATATTGACGTATATTTTTATTTCTTTTGAGAACAAAATGATTTTTAATGATTTTAAACATTATTTATGTATCAGTTTGGAAAAAAAAGAAATTTCAACAGTTTTTTCTTAATAATTGATCAGGTATTAATTTTTGCAAATTTTAAATGTTAATCATAGTTTTAAAACTTGTACTGGGGCTGGAGTTGTGGCTCAGTGGTAGAGCACTTGCCTAGCATGTGTGAGACACTGGGTTCGATTCTCAGCACTGCATATAAAGAAATGAATAAAAAAAATGTTTATCAACATCTAAAAAATATTTAAAAAAAAACTTGTACTGAGGCTGGAGGATGGCAAGCTGGAGGCTAACCTTGGCAACTCATTGAAACACTAAACAACTTAGTGAGACCTTTCTCAAAATACAAAATAAAAAGGGCTGGGGATGTAGCTCAGTGTTAGAGTGTTCCTGGAAATAAATGCCCAGTACCTCAAGAAAAAAAATAACAAAAACAAAAGACCCGTGTGTGTGTGTGTGTGTGTGTGTGTGTGTCTGTGTATTTAAATTAGGCATTTGTCTAAACATAAGATAAAAGGAAAGAAGAGATAAAATTTTTCCCTTAGAGCAGTATAATGCTTGGAGTAGAAGTAACATTGAAACATGGATAACAATGTGTGACTTTTTACTTTCATTTTTAATAGAAAATTTTCTATTTTATAATCTTATTCATAAATTCTGTTAAATTTTTTATTGCATTTATAAGTGGTTAATAGATGGCTATTTGGTACCAATTTTGAAATATTTTTATAGACATGTTATTTGAATAGCAAAAAGAATTCCAAGTTTCTCAGTTGTTAACATCTGACTACTTTTTTTCATGATACGTGGTGCCTATACATATAAATGCTATGTAGTATATATAATGTTTTCCCCAGGCTGAATTATTTAACTATATTTTGCAGACATGGTACCACACACTAAACAAACTAACTGGTTAGTATTGATAGAATATGACTATCTCATCCTAACATCCCATCCTCATTTTACCAGTTGCCTTAATAATGCCATTTTTTATTTTAAAAAGTTTATTTTAGCCTTCAATATGGAATATTTATTTGCTCAGTCTTTCCTTGCTTTTTGTAACATTGGAATTTTTGATGAATAAAGGCCAGTTAGGGTGAAGCCAAATTGTAGTGTTTTCATTTTAGGTTTGCCTTTTTTTTTTTTTTTAAAGTCGGACTCTCTCACTAGTGATGCCCTATTCTTCATTGTGTATCATATCAGGAGGCACAAAATATTGATCAGTTGGTTAAGGTGATATCTGCCAGGTTTCTGTATAATAAAATTACTAATTTTCCCATGTGTAAGGATTGCTTTGAAATTATGCAAATTTTGGGCCATGGGTAGAGCTCAGTTGTAAAGTACATACTTAGCATCTGGGCGGCCCTTGATTCAGTCCCCAGCACCAAAAAGAAAAGAGAAGCCATTATTAACTTTCTCATACCAGATTTCGTATTCATTGATGATTTTTGTTTGAATTATTACATTGATACCAAATGGTGGTTTTCTAATTTCATCATTCATCTACATTTATGAATGATGAGAAAGAAAAGTTGAGTAATGATGAGTAAGAAAAGTTCCTGTATCTTACATGTATCCATTTACTATTTTATTTATTTATATTAGTATAAACTTTTGGATACCCATTTTATTCATCATTATTTATTTTGATGCTCACATCCCAGATTGGAATCCCTAAATGTTAAGACATATCTATTTGACAAATTTCCTTCATTATTTTAGCATTTTCTTGCTTTCCCACAAAAGATATTACTTGTTTTTTAATCTCAGTCTTTGAATCAATCCTTTCTTTGAGGAACCCTTCTTTATTGGAAATTAATTTAAGAACTATGTGTGGGTTTGTTCATTGTTTCTTGGATGACATTGCTTCTCTTAGTGAACAGAAGTAGGAAACAGACACACATACACACACATACACCATAGCATCTATACCAATCTCTCTCTCTCCCTTACACACACAACACACACACACCATAGCATATCTATATCTATCTCGCTTCCTATCTATCTACCTATGTATTATCCATTTGTCATCAAACATGAACTCATACTAGTGTCTTATTCTAAGTCAATTCCACCAGGTTCTTTTATCCTTTACCTTTTCTATTATGTAACACTTTAAAAAGAGAAACTTGGCATTTGTTACCCTCAACATATACTTGTTCGTTCATACTGTGTGTAATATCTCAGTTTTTCTGACCATCATCTCAGCCTGCTCCATCTTGACCAGAGATGCTTCTTTCATCTAAGTTCCATCCCTAAAGTTTCCTTGTCTTTTTCCTAATTACTGCTTTACCCTGTGCATCATCCCTGGCAGTTCGGCTATACCTTTTACTCTGCTTTTTTTTTCTTTAAAATTTGTTCCAATTAGTTATACATGACAGCAGAATTATTTTGATTCATTGTACACAAACGGAGTATAACTTTTCATTTTTGTGGTTATACATGATGTAGAGTCACACCATTTGTGCAATCATACATGTACTTAGCATAATGATGACCTTCTCATTCCACCATCTTTCTTACCCCCATGCCCTTACCACTCTCCTCACTCCCCTCTGCCCAATGAAAATTTCTTCCATTCTTCCCCTGCCCACCCCTAATATTGGATTAGCATCCACACATTAGAGAAAACATGTGGCTTTTTGTTTTTTTGGAATTGGCTTATTTCACTTAGCAAGATATCCTCCATCTCCATCCATTTTCCTGCAAATGCCATAATTTTATTCTCTTTTAATGCTGAGTAATATTCCACTGTAAATATATACCACAGTTTCTCTATCCATTCATCTATTGAAGGGCATCTAGGTTGGTTCCACAGTTTACCTATTGTGAATTGAGGCGTTATAAACATTGATGTGATTGTATCACTGTAATATGCTGATTTTAAGTCCTTTGGGTATAGACAGAGGAGTGGAATAGCCGGGTCAAATGGTGTTTTCATTCCAAGTTTTCTGAAGAATCTTCATACCACTTTTCAGAGTGGTTGTACCAATTTGCAGTCCCAACAGTAATGTATGAGTGTACATTTTCCCCCACATCCTCTCAAACACTTATTGTTTGTGTTCTTGATAATTGCCATTATGACTAGCATGAGATGAAATCTTAGAGTAGGGTTGATTTGCATTTTTCTAATTACTAGAGACATTGAAATGTTTTTCATATATTGGTTGATCAATTTTATATCTTCTGAGAAGTGTCTGTTTAGTTCCTTAGCTCATTTATTGATTTAGTTATTTTTTTTTTTGGTGTTAAGTTTTTTGAGATCTTTATATATCCTAGAGATTAGTGTTCTATCTGATGTGCTTGTGGTAAAGATTTTCTCCCACTCTGTAGACTATCTCTTCATATTATTGTTTCCTTTTCTGAGAAGCAGCTTTTTAGTTTGAAATCGTCCCATTTATTGATTCTTAATTTTACTTCTTGCACTTTAGGAGTCTTGTTAAGGAAGTTAGAACCCATACGACATGATGAAGATTTGGGACTATTTTTTCTTCTATTAGGTGCAGGGTTTCTGGTCTAATTTCTAGGTCCTTAACCACTTTGAGTTGAGTTTTGTGCATGGTGAGAGATATGGGTTTGATTTCATTTTGCTGCATATAGATTTCCAGTTTTCCCAGTACCATTGTTGAAGAGGCTATTTTCTCCAATGAATGTTTTGGCACCTTTGTCTAGTATGAGATAACTGTATTTATGTGTATTTGTCTCTGTGTCTTCTATAATATTGTCTACACGTCTACTTTGGTGCCAATGCCATGCTGTTTATTGTTACTATAGCTCTGTAGTATAACTTAAGGTCTAGTATTGTGATGCAGATTTAATGCAATTTCTATTAAAATCCCAGTGACATTCTTAATAGAACTAGAAAAAGCAATTATGAAATTTATTTGGAAAAATAAGAGATCTGGAATAGCCAAGGCAGTCCTTAGCAAGAAAAGTGAAGCAGGAGGTATCACAATACCAGATCGATCAATTGATCTGTATTTATCTATTTATTTTTCTTAATTTCTGAAACACACAGGGAAAAGGTAGGAAGAAAGGAGAAGAGTAAAAATAAGAATCTCATAATTTCTACATATTTACATATATCTAAATCCTTTGGAAGGGGGAATTCAGTAAGTTTCATGAAACTATTTTAATACTCTTCTGTGGTTAATGGAAGAGTGATTTGAGGTTTTAGTTGAACAAATATCTCTGAATATGCTATTGGTTCAAGGTTGAAATTTTTCTTTGAACATTAGTTTTCTCTTTTATCTTGTGTATGAATGTGTGTGTGTGTACATTCCAAAATTAAGATGCTATACTGTGCAGGCAGTGTCACCAAAAACATTACATTGTTGAGCAAGTGAGTAAGCATGAGATAATTCATTTTGTTGAATACTTTAATATAGCCAGTAGATGTAGAAAATTCTGTCATTTTTCAAGAATTTGAAATAAGGGATATATATATATATATATATGTGTGTGTGTGTATATATATATACATGTGTGTGTATACACACACATATATATATAAATTAAATATTAAAGATAAATAGGAAGAAAAAACATTATATTAAAAAAATACACACAAACATATATGTATTTGTATGGAGTTATTTTTTGTTTTGTTTTCTTTTAACCCAGAAACCTGCTTCACTATAATAAGAATAATATTTCTTTCCCAAGAAGATTTATATCTACATGAACAAAACATGAGGCTAGGTTTGAGGAAAGATATTCTACTTTCTTGGACCAAGCATATAGTTGTCTTAAGGATCTGAACACTGCTTTTTGGAAACTTCCCTGTTTTTATGCTGTTTGTATGATGTGTTTTTTATTCCTATTTATCTTTAATATTTAATGTAGTTATTTTTTTAATGAGAGTCAAATTTAGGTAGTGTTGTTAAAGGATAAATAGCTGAACATTTGGGAG